TTTAGCAAAGGTAGCTGAAAAGCCGGAGAGTCAGCCAGTAAGCAGCACTCTCCCATGGTTTCTGTTTCAAACTCCTGCCTTGAGTTCTTGCCTTGACATCCTTCAATGATGAACTGTAACTATGTAAGATTAAATAAACCATTTCCTCCCCAGGTTGCTTTTGGTCTTGGCGTTTATCACAGCAACAGAAATCTGACAAGAATACAGAGGTTGATGGACACCTGCTTCAGTCAGGTCAATACCTCGGTTTTCAGTGTAGGACACAGGAGAAGCAACCTGCCTTTCTTTCTTGTGCTTCACTGATGCATCCCAGATGTTGTGCAGGATGAAAGATGACCAAATATTTTGCAAATCAAGATACAGGGGAAGATAAAATTGAGGCTGTTAGCTTGCTTGCTCTACTAACTAGCCAAGAACTTTACCAGAATTATCTGTCAGCTAGGATTAACAATTTTGAATTAGCTCTCATACTGATAAAAGATTTGCTATTTAGGCCAATGGCTAAAAGCCAAGACTTTGATGTCTGAATGTTTTGAGTTTGACTTCTGCCTCCATGTTTCAACTGGCTGACTTTGGGAAGTTTCCTTGTAAGCTAAAATTTTCCCCCCAAGGCTGGAGAGACAGTGAGGAGCACTGGCTGCTCCTGCAGAGGATGGGTTTCAGCTCCCAGCACCCACATGGTGGCTCACAACCATCTCTAACTCCAGTTGATGGTCTTTGGTGCCCTCTTCTGGCCTCTGTGGTTACTGCACACAGGTGGAGCATACACATACATGCAGGCAAAATACACATACGCATAAAATAAAATAAAAATAAAACGAACCTTTGAACGCTTTTCCACCTGCAACCAGTAAAAGCACCTACCTTGCACAGTTTCTGGAAAGGGGCAGTAAATGCCTCTGACAAATTATCAATAATTCTCCCAGCATATGACACACAGGATATCCATCAGGGAACATAAGACCCTGGTCTCTCTACAAAAGGACAGCAGGGGACCCTGGCTCCTAGGCAGTGGATCAGGAGAGGAGAAAAGTAAACCAGAGAAACTAAAAGAGGGAATGGACTCTGAACAGAAACAACACTCAATACACTGTTTTGAAAAAGTCTTTTCAGGTCACTTACGATCTGTGGTCAGTGTCTTTTTATCTCCAGCATACATTTACAATTACTACGAGGACACAGAGGTGACTAAGTGGCAGGGCCAAGCTGCCAAGTCAGACCATCTTTCTAGTTCAGGGCTGGATCTTCAGAAACAGTCACTAACTTTGAGAAGAAAGGGTCGGTGACAGAAGCCTACCACGGTGTGACTGTCCACTTGACAGCCTCTGCAACAACAGTTCTCAACCTGTGGGTCGCGACTCCTTTGGGGGTTGCATATCAGGTATCATTTACATTATGATTCCTAACAGTAGCAAAATTACACTTACGAAGTAGCAACGAAAATAATTTTATGGTTGCGGGGGGTGGGGGTTCGACACAACATGAGGAGCTGTATTAAAGGGTCGCAGCACTAGGAAGGTTGAGAACCACTGCTCTAGAGTCACTGAAGAGATGGGTTTCTGGGCATGTGAGAGACTTTCTAGATTAGGTTGAGCCAGAGAAGACTCATTTTAAAAGTAGGTGGCAGTATTCCACGGACAGGGAGCCAGGACTGGATGCCGAGGAGAAAGGGAGCCAACGGCAGCATTCATTGCTCTCTGCTTCCTGACCGTGGATGGAGTATGAGCGGCTGCTGCCTCCATGCTTTCCCTGCTGAGAAGTCCATGCACGATAACAAACCCTCCTGTGATGGCTATCCTTGCTGGTCCATTTGACTGCATCTGGAATTAACAAAAAACCTAAGCGGCAGCAGGCATGTCTGTGAGGAAGTTTTAGTGAATTGGATCAGTTGGGGTAGGAAGACTCATCTTAAATCTGGATCATTTGAGGGCAGAAGACCCACCCTAAATCTGGGCCTCACCTTGTGGTGGCAGCCCACATAAAGGACACGGAAGGAAGCAGCTTTTGCTTTTTGCCTTCTTGCCCTCATGCTCACGGACAGGTTCATCTATCCTGATGCTGAGGCATTCCTTCACTGGTATTAGGGCCTACTTTCTCAGGATTCCAAAGTAGACCAGAGACCAGCTGAGACAAATAGTTCTAGGGGCTCTGATATCTTCTTCTAGCTCTGTGGGCACCAGGGACACACATGGTGCACAGATATTCATTCAAGAAAAATACCTATGCACATAAAAGTCAATAAGATTCTTTGCAAGTATGCCCACTATAATGTATATATGTATGTATGTATGTATGTATGTATGTATGTATGTATGTATGTATGTATATTCATGCTATCAGTTCTGTTGCTCTAGAGAACCCTGACTAATACACCTTCCTTCTTTCCCTAGGTATCTTGTGCTAGGTTTTTGATGAACCAAGGAGACAAATAGTACCCACAGTGAACAGCAGTTGTGCCTGTTAGATCTAGGAATAGAGTAATCACAGGAAGAGGATGAGTGAGAGGTTCTGAAGACCACTGAGTAGTAATTCAGATAAAGGATTGACGTGATAAGAGATTAAACCATTGTCACTGAGTTGGGTCTTAGGTCTTATCACCAGCCTCTCAGAGACTGTCATGCCACCATTTTTAATTCACTCCATCTCCCCACAAAGCAATTATACCATTTTTTGGTCAAGCACATAGTAGGTGTTTGTCATAGCTGTTGAATGGACGTAGCCAAGGTTACCTACCTAAATGGGATTCTGCTCACATTTAAATGGGCTTTAACACTGTCAACGTCCGATGCATTCACAAAAAAATGGACTTCTTTTTTCTTTTCAATGAATTCAGCTGTCACTGGCTGCCAGAGAACGACCTACAGTTTCCAGGAGGAAATCAGTAAATCAAAAGCTGAGTTATTCACATCATTTGCATCTGTAGTTACATAAAAGCCGTGTCTCTAAAAGGGCTGTGACAAGGACACCTCTCAGGCACGGTCTCCACCCCACACACAGTAATACAAACAGTCATCCAGCAGGGAGCTCATTTCATTCACTGGCATTCTGGTTGCCAAACAGGCCCTGGAACACCCCAGATGCTTAATATTTGATGAGAAGATGAATAGACTTATGACTCTACTGTGGAGCTGGATATGTGTTTCAGGTGCTTAAAAGAAAAATGAGATTCTCTCTAGGAAGGAAGTTTGATTACATATTGATTTTGCTTAATAAAGATCCCATGTGTTTGATATTAGTATCACGTTAGTGTCTCTTTCTTTCATCTAATGCCTCTGAATATTTACATTTTTCTCCTTTTATGGCACTTCTCCAAAGTGCTTTCAGACTCATTTCCTTCGCTCATTAGAATACCATTTTGATATCAACCGGACAGATGTTATTATTTTCTTTGTAAAGATGAGCCAATTAAGGATCAGAGCTAATTTGCCTAAAATCATATACCCGGCATCAGAATAAGCAATGAGATTCTAGGGTTTAAATGAGAATGCAGTATTGTGACGTATGTTTGAAAATGTCACAGCAAAACTCAGCTTTTTTGTAAGCTCACTGAACAATGAAATTAAAGAATAAATGAGAAGAATAAAGTGAAATAAATTTTGTGATCTTTTTTTCACCCCTTCTCTGGTGGAGATGCTTCATTTTTATCTTGCAAAAGGGTTATGAACATGTCTCACTCAGTTCTGCTCCTGCCAGAGGCGCAGGGGACGCCTTGTGGCCACCCACGTGATAACCTCAGGCTGAGGCCATGCTGCCCAGGGCTGCAGCTCATGCCACCCACACACTGTGGATGTGTTCACGCAGAGCCGTTCTCCCCAGAGGATTCTTGTAACCGAGGGTTTTGATAAAGCAAAGCACTCGCAACTACCTCTGCCTGACTTGGGAACTGCTTTGAGTCTGAGAATCATGACCCTGCTTCCCACAGAGTCATCCCCAACCTCACCCACTCCCACCCTCCACCCCCACCCCAGTGAAGGCACCTCCACCACCTCCAGCTCCCTCCCCCCTCTTTAGCCTTAGCAAGCACCCCCTTATAGCTCCAAACTTGCACCTCCAAACTGATCTGACCTCTCTCTCTAACAAACGCAGGTTCATTCATTCTCTGCTGCCTGCCAGTCTTCCACACCTAGGACTTCCCGGGGAGATGGAATCCACGAATGGGCATTTTAAGAAGTTTCCTGGGGCTTATACGCCTACTCCTTGGCTAAGAACCACTGTTCTACAAGCAAAACACTGTCAAACATCTGGTACTGTAGCAGTTTGTGCTGACCTGCTCACAGCTTTGAGGTGATACCACGGGTAAAGGTTTGGTTCTGGAAACAAAAAGTCATGTGGTGGCTGCAGCTAGATACATACAGATGGACTGGAGGGGGAACACAGTTTACAACGCACACAGAAAAAAAAAAAGCTAATGCAAATGTAAGTTAGGGGAAGTTACCTCATAGGTTGTAGTAAGATTCTGAAGAACTTGAACTTGCCTAGAGGTTCTAGGAAGAGCAGATAACACCTGGCCACTGGGGAGGAAAACAGGGTTTGAGTTAAATAACAACGTGAAAACGGTGCACATTTACTGAAGGAGCTTCTAGGTCATTATAAGACAGAAACAACACGTAAAGAGTATTAGGATGTAGACAGACTCGGTGTAAAAGGTCAACAGCATCTCTTATAGTCTGTAGTGCTAAACAACCACAAAACCACAGCTCTCAGGTCCACAGAGCACTGGCCTCTCTCCTCTCCCTTCTGTGTGTGCAGGTGTACAAGGACTTGTGTGGGACAAAAAGCCAACAAATAAATTTGCTTTTATTTTTGCACGTGGAGAACGCCGAACTCTAGTTTGCTGTCACTGGGAGTGTGAATCAGTAGAGCCATCATTGGAAAGCGGCACAGAGTTTGCTCAAAAGATTAAAGACAGAGCTAGAATATGATCTGACAGTCCTGCCGGGCATAAGGAAATAAAATTAGCATGTCAGAGAGACACGTGGGTTCTCGTTTTTGTTGCAATACTCCTCACTGCTGTGGCATCCATCTGAGTGTCAGTCCGTGGATAAGTCGATAAAGAAAATGTGATAAGTACATAGACACACACAATGGAATAATAGCCAGTCATGAAAAAGAATGAGACCCTTGGGGCTGGAGAGATGGCTCCGTCGTTAAGAGCACTTGTTGCTCTGCTGAGGAACCGGGTTCGATTCTCAGCACACACACGTGGCAGCCCACAACCACCTGTCACTCTGGTTCCAGGGGATCTGACATCTTCTTCTGACCTCTTCAGGCACCCAGCATGAACACAGCTCACATGCTTACAGGGCAGGCAAAACATTCATACACATAAAATAAAACAAGTAAGTCTTTTAGGAAGGAGACCCAAGGGCTGGAGAGATGGCTCAGTGGTTAAGAGCACCTGTTGCTCTTGCAAAGGACTCAGGTTCAGTTCCCAGAACCCACAAATCTCATAAGCATCCATAACTCCAGTTCTGGAAGATAAAATGCCCACTTCTGACCTCCTTAAGCACCAGGTATGCGCATGGTACATGGTACATGGTACAGGCAAAACATTCATACACTTAAATAAAAAATCTAAAGGCAAACAATTTTTAAAAGAATGAGATTCTGGGGCTGGAGAGATGGTTCAGTGGTTAAGAGCACTTGCTGCTATCCCAGAGGACCCCGGTTCAATTCCCAGCACCCATATGTAACTCACAACTGTCTCTAACTCCAGTTCCAGAAGATCTGACACCCTCACACCAATGCACATAAAAAAAAATAAAAAAAATAATTTAAAAAAATGAGATTCTGTTGTGTTTGATAACAGAGATTATGTTAAGTGAAAATCCAGGTGCAGAGAGACACATGATATCCACATGTGTGATGATACACGCTGTAATCTAGATCCTGGGCTACGGAGCAAGTTCCAGGCCAGCCCGAGCTATGTAGTGAGATCCTGTCTCAAACACCACCACAACTCCATCCACCCCCACACACAGGAAGAGAAAGACACAGGGAGGCTTTCCTGACATCCTTGGAGGTCCCTGTGGGCTTTTCCTCCTCTCTCACATTCCCACATCCCATTTTTTCACCTTTGCTTTTCATCTCTTGTCTTTCTTTATGGCAGTGCTTCTTACACACAGCTGTGGATTGCTGTCTGTGTGGATTCTTGAGGAACTGTTTGGATTTATTTGATTTTTATTTTAGAAAAAGTAAAGAGTGTAACTCAGTGGTAGGGTGCCTGCCTTGTAAATAACACCAATTTAAATTTTTAAAAGGCCATATTACATGTCCTCCTCTGAATGTTATTCTCACTTACAGTTGTATTTTCAAGATGGTTGTCATAGTGCACGTGTTACAAGAATTTCCTCACAAGTGGACTCACTGATTCATGAGATACGCCTCACTTTCATCTTCCAGGGTGATGTCAAAGTAGTCCTTCACTTTTTTCATTCACCTGTGTTTGCAGTGGGAAAGGGTTCCTTTGGCCTCCTCTTCCCAACACCTGACCCCTGCCATTTCACTTCTCCAATCAACCTAGCACAGAGATCTTACATTTTAATTTTCTGACTTACTTCACTTTAAATTTCTGGCCTATCAGCTACATATTTTTTTTAATGTTCCAATTATTTAGTATTCCAATTTTATACTTATGTGTTATTTTTATGCAAGTTATTTGCTTATTTTTTTTCTACTCATTCCTTTGTATATTTATAATAAATTGACTAGTATCATTTGTTTCTTTTCTGGGTAGTAATCCTTAACAGGTTCTCACACGCAAATGTCTTCTACCAGTTTTCAATTAGTGCCCCCACTTAATTTTCTTTTGTTCTTTCTAGTGTTGGGGTTGAACCCAGGGGCTTGCATATGTTAGGCATGTGCTCTGCTGCTGAGCCACATCCCTGACTTCTCTAGAAGATGTATTTTTATCCGTCATTTTCTTATAGCTTTGTGTGCATAAGAGCTCTTTCCAAACCTTGGGACACAATAATAGTCACATCTATCTCTTTGGTCTTTCTTTTTAATTTTAATTTTATGTGTATGGGTGTTTTGCCTACATTTGTGTGCAGTGACCATGGAGGCCAGAAGAGAGTGTCAGATCCTGAGAACTGGAGTCACAGATAGTTGTGAGCTGCCACTTGGGTGCTGGGAATCAAATCCAGGTTCTCTAGAAGAGCAACCAGTTCTCTTAAGCCATCCCTTCAGTCCCCCACCCCATTGTCTTTTATATTTCATCTTTCAAGCCATTGGAAGTTATTGGTAGGAAGTATAGCATAGCAAAGGAATACTCTGTCTCGGTCTCTCTGTCTCTCTGTCTCTCTGTCTCTCTGTCTCTCTCTCTTTCTGTCTCTCTCTCCCCCCCCCTCTCTCTTTCTCTCTCTCCTTCCCTTTCCCTCTTAACCTTGTTAGGGGCCAGCTGACTCCATTTTTATCTTCCTTTTCCTAGTTAAGCATAATGTTAGCATCTGATTTATTTCTATATTTTTCCCTATGGTGTTTTTCTCTAATCATGTCCCAAGCTAATGGTCAGTTTGGTTTTGTTTTTTGTTTTTGTTTTTTTGACTTGTTCTTCTTCTAGAATCTTGTGATTTACATGTCATAAATACATATATACATACATTGTTTCATGGCATGTTCCAAGAATTGGTTGACCATAAAATGTTTCAAAAACTGACTAATTAACTAAATTATTAACTGCAAAAATTTCCACTTTTGTAATCACTTGCTATGTTCCTCAGACTTGAGCTTGACTATGAAAAGGCTCCCCTACTTTTTAGTCAGGGCTGCTTCAATCTCCTACTCTTGAGGAGACTGCAAGTGTGGCCTGAGCATAAAACAAATTTTTACATTGCAACATTTTGGTGTTTGCACCTGGTTTTCGACACCATAACAAACATCATTTCATCATTTAAGCATCTCCAAAACCTTCGATAGACATCTATGTCAATATTGATACGGGTTAAGTTTCCATACCAGCTGACCCAGAAAACGTGCCTCAAACCATGTCTTCTTCCTAGGCTGCAGAAAAGTTGCATCCCCGGGACTTTGCATGGCTATGCTGAGGCCTGGGGTTTCAGCCAGTGGGGATGTATGGGATGTGCATGGGCTCTTCTCCTGAGGCTAGAGCAAAGAATATCAAAACAGCCAGTTGTACAATGGAAACAGTTCACACCTCCCCTCCCCCCCAGGATGGAAGGTACAAGGGAGAGCCTGTGTTTTTATTGATAGGTGACACAAAAAAATGTCATGGTGTGAAGGCCTGTGTCCTTCTCAAATCTGTATGTTGAAATCCTAATCCCTAAAGTATTGTCATTAAGAAGTGAAGAGGTCAAAAGGCAGAGCCTTCTTGAATAGGGTTAGTGTCCCTATAACAGAAGCCCGAGAGTGACCCCAACCATCCCCTCCCGCCCTGTGCACATGGTGGAAAGACATGGTTTTTGGAAAACTCTGCTTGTCCTTTGCCTTGGGCTTCCTGTTTCTAGCACAGTGAGATGTTTCTGTTGTATAAGCCTGTAGTTGAACGCATTTTGTGGTTGTCATAACAGACAAATGGACTACTAATTGAGGCTTTATTGCTATTTCAGGACTTATTATTAGCTGTTGTAGCATAATCTGGGGCGCTCCTCACCAATATAGTGTGGCTCTTTCCAGGCTGTTGTGCTTTACTGGGGTTTCGTTCTCTGTCTGTCTCTCCAGTGCGAGGCTAAAAGCACAGACCACCATGCCTGGCTTTTTCACACTGGTCCTGGGGATCAAATGCAGGTTACTCCAATCTTCCAACTAATCCTCAGCATCTTACAAAATGAGCTCCTCGGCCTCCTCACTCCTCTGCCTCTAGAAAAGCCCCTTGGGGAGATCTGCTTTTTGGCATAAAATTTAAAAACCAACACTCATGAGTTTATTGAATATATAGGTTCATAATTTGAGGAAGATGGATGTACTCACGATTCCGAGTCTTCTTATCAAGACCCACAGATTTCCCAGTTTGGCCTTCTTTCATGTCTTTTGAAAAAGTTTTATCTATTAATCTATTGCATATTTTAAAATCATGCTTGTTCTACTAACAGCATTACTTTTCTTTTCTAAATGGTAATTGAATATTCCATATCATAGTCCCTTGTTGTGGAGATTTACAAATGAAGTTGATTTGGGGGATATCGGTTTTCTTACTGCTCTCCTTGTGTGGTGTTTAAACTGTCAACCAGACAATCTGGAATCATCTGGGAAGAGAGTCTCAAGTGGGATTGTGTAGTCAAGCTGGCATGTAGAGGGATTGTTTTGATTACATTATTTGTCATTGGAAGACCCAGTCTACTGTGGGCAGCAACATTCCCTGACCTGAGTCCTGGACTGTACAGAGAGAGAGGAGCGAGCTGCTGGGTGCCACATGTCTTCATTCTCTCTGCTTTTCACAGGGGTAGGTGGGGGGGCCCGCATGTGACCAGCTGTTCCATGTTCCTGTTGCCTTGACTTCCCCACAATGATGGACTGTAACCTGGAATTGTGACCAGCAATAAACTCTTTCTCC